CCCCCCCCCCCTCCCGTATTTAAGGATGGACACACATATGTATATGGTAATACAATACACGAACAGTAAGTTACACTTCACTTGTTTCGTCATTCATTGTTGTTTAGGTCAAATAGGTGGACATCCAAATTGGCCTAAGCTACATTAGAAACAAAATGGGAGGTGCACCTGAATTATAAGAATTTAAAAAATCGAGGAGCATTGGCTAATTTTAAAATCATAAGTGGGTAAACTGTGAATAATACTGTCCGTGACAATATTCAAACACTGGGGCTTAATAAAAATAACCATCAGGGTTTTTCACATTGTTTCCTCAAGGATGAACGTAAGACACACATATATGCCTGTAAACTTGGGGTATAGATACAGTAAAAAATTGATTTGGCTGTTTCTTTTTTCTAGGACTCATCGGTGAGCTAGGGGCAAAATGTTTGATACAATTTTGACCTATATATGTAGTAAGCAGTTCCAGGTTAGTGTAGCGGATGTAACAATAGCTCCGGATAATGAAGCACTGAAGAATGGCTGGTACCAACTTGTTCCGAGGCTTATGACTACTGATAAAGATTCCATTTACTCTTTAAACAGGAAGTGTTGTGGTCTATCTTGATATTTCTATATCAATAGGTTGTTAAATCAGGTTTATTTATAGCGTTCTCGGTGGCAGAGTGATTAAGGCGTCTGACAGTCTACGATTACTAGCCATACGTCACTTGGTCGTTTGGTTGGTGGCTTTTCTCCGGGTTCTCCAGCTTTCTTTTCTCCACCACTAAAACCTGGCATGTTCTTATATGACCATTGTTGTTAATAGGACGTAAAACACAAAAACAAAGATCCAAACATGCAGGCTAATGTACTATTATTCACTAGCTACATATTCCGTATAACAACTGATATGCTTTATATTTTCTGTTTTTATTTGATAATACCATAGAATGCGAAAGCGAAACATTTGGAACAGATTGTTTACAAAGATGCCACTGTAGAATTCCTGGGTGCCACCACGTGACTGGAGTCTGTGATAATGCAGGTTGTCAAGATGGCTGGGAGGGTTCATCATGTGACAAAGGAGGTACATGTACTTAATCAGCACACACAAAAATCGTCCAACCAAAATTATTTAGTACATGTAGTCATATTTCACAAAATTGTTCAATCTTGTGGAAGCAAATGTACGCAGTTGACATAAAGAAACCATATTCAAAGAAACGTTTTAAATATTGAAAGGCATGGTTATGTATTCAAATAGAATTTTAGTATAATGTTAAAAGTATCACGAAACAAATCTGTACATAACCAAAGAACGAATTTTTGAGCTGATTGTATCAGTTCTACGAACGATATTTTTTAAGAATAGTTGTCATATATGCTAGGTAGTTAAACATGCCCTCTAATTGAACAGAACCGGGACCCTGCAAAGATTTTATGTTTCATATTTTGTCTTTTATTTTCTGTTGTATTTGATGACTTGGAACAAATTGTTTTCATACATAAAAAAAAATTAGAAGAAGCATAGTAGAAGAGATATTATCAATATTTATTTGTATGGTATGTAAGAATCATTTAATGTAAAAGTCACGTCATATAAATTTACAATATGAACCATGACAATCATTAAGAAATCATAAGTTATTACGTAATACATACATGCATTCAAGCTTTGCTTAACTTGTTGCAAAAGTATAATTGACAGGAATGCATATTGTTGGACAGTTTATTTGAGAAATGTACCATATACATATAAATTTGATAATTTGTGACAATATTATAACACTATATATATAATAATATTAGCTAGATAGGGCGCTATATCAAATGTTATATATATATATATGTATATATAATAATAATAATTAATATATGCAACATTGGATATAGCGCCATATCTAGCTAACATAAGCCACTTTAAAGCGCTTTACAGTACATAGATAATCAATTAATACAATCAGCATGTACATTAATCAATAAAATTTTGAGAAATTCGCGGGAGCAGCCTTACCAGGCACTTTTTACCAGTCCAATGCCACTTGGCTAATATCTCCAAATGTGTGTATGCCTGCGTGTGTGCTGGAGATGTGGTTTGTTCTGTTTGTAGTGCTTCCAACGGCATCATTTATAGTGCCACCTCACTAGAATGCTACAGCACAGTTATCGCAACATCCGCCCCAGACCAATTTATACTCCACCTGGGTTGTTGGAGTTGTATGGGCAGGAGAAAAACACTTTCTCTGAATATTCATGCGTACGACGACTTCGGGGATTGAATCCCGGCCGCCTGAGTGGAAGGCCGGAGTGTCAATCACTCGATCAATCCGCCATATATATGAATATTAGGAGTACATAATGAATCTAGAAATGTGTAACTGGGTACAACTATCAAGTGAGGTTAACTAAAATACGAATAACTACCATTGTTCTAATACATATAGAGTATATTGAGGGACATTCATGTAAAAGTTTGCTACCATTAGGCAGCCGTTGGAGTATGGTTAAGTTCTTGTATAATCGATTATCCACCTAGTGATATTAACCGACTTATTGTTTCATGAAATCCCAGATTGCTCTTTGTACTTTTTCAAAATTACTGAATGATACTTAATCTGAATTACGATTATACTATATGATTCATTTTTATACTTCATCATATATACACTGAATAATATTTATGCTGCAATATATTTATAAAAAGAATAAGAACAAATTCATGTCTTCAAGGCGAAATTTAGTAACTATTTTTATTCTTGTTATATTTGGGATTTTTGGGGGCGAAAGACGAAAAAATCATACTTTAAAAGTTACTCGATATCGTCTTTTCATAGGGGACAAACAGATGAAAGAACGAGAGTTCAGGTTTGTTCATTCTCGTCTTTCAGGTACGACAACACGAAACAACGAAACGGCACAAAGCATCCACCATATAAGTCGTTGATATTGATATAATAATATTCTGCTTTGTTTAGGTACTAGAGTGCGTCTCATCGGTAGTGGTAGTTCACCGTATCAAGGAAGAGTCGAGGTATATCACAATGGTGAATGGGGAACAATATGTGACGATGGCTGGACGAATGTCGAGGCATCAGTGATTTGTAGGATGCTTGATTTTAGGTATTATATGTATGCCTACGTAATTATTTTGACAATGACATGTTTTGTTACCAATTTGTTTTATTTTCAAACACAAGCAATGTACATATTAAACGTGTCTCAAGACCGACTGGTCCTTTTTGTTAAGCTATCATTATAAGTCTTGAAACATTACGACACGATGGCTTGATAAAGAGACCAGTCGGTCCTGAAACTATCAAACCCGTTTGATTCGCAGATTGTTAACGTATTCAGTTAAAATTTGACATTACATATTTCCAAACTGATAGGGTGGTCGGGTAGCGCAGTGGATAGCGCACTTGACTTTACCAAGGCGGCAGGGGTTCGATTCTCCAATCGGACGTGAAAAGGTATTGGGTCACCTGCTCGACCACGTGGGTTTTTATCCACGTAAACCAGTTTCCTTCACCATTAAGACGACCCACGCGCTAACATCCGGGCCAACAAGAGTGATTGATATAAGTTGTTTAATGATTGTTGTAAAATAAATAAAGAATATTTTAACTGATGAATCTTATTGAAGAAACTTATTATTTGTTAGCTATTGCCCTTTATAAAACAATTGTATATGATCAATTTGATTGAACAGGAAATTAAGTATTTAAATTGTTTATAAATAAAAAAGCGAAGGATTTTTACCAACAAAACTTTATGTATGAATCGTATCTATCATTTTGAAAAAGGGTGAAAAATGGCGTCAGACATTGATTTTATACCGTTAGTTATGTTGCTTTACAGTGTAGTATGTAAAATGCTTAAGGCGCAATTTAACAGAGGATGTGTTTAGGTAGAGTCTTACATTGGTGGAAGTGAACCGTTTTGATATAATGATTTTTCTCTTTAAAATGCACTCAATTTATCTATGATATCTATGATATTCAGATATATTGCATATTTACGTCTCATCTTTTTGTTTTGCAGCGAAGGAGGGCAGGCGTACGGCAAGGCACATTTTGGTGAAGGAAGTGGTCCGATATTGCTAGACAATGTCAGATGTTCCCCGGGCTATATCAGTGATATATCGGACTGTTATCATAGAGGCTGGGGAAATCATAACTGCAATCATAGGAAAGATGCAGGAGTTGCATGCAGGTTATCTGGTAAATAATACTTGGATTTAACATTAATAACTGATATTATTTTGTCCAACCAAACTATACTTCTTCATTTTTTTTGGCCGAACAGACAAAAACATGAGAATGAATAGTTACTAAGTCTAATCCTTTTGGAACGAATAACGAAAGGACGAGAATTAAATGTAACTAATATGTCTTTTTGGGACGAAAACCTATCAAACCAGAATGAATACTTACTAAATCTCGTTTTTTCGTAAGGAACGAGAGTTTATGTTTGTTGATTCTGGTATTTTAGGGGCGAAACACGAAACAACGAAATGCAAAACGTCACCCACCGTAGAAATTGCTGAAAAATTTACTTTGAAACGTGTCCAGCTCACTTTATTGGTTTAACCTTTGATGCGAAATGCATATTTATTGTTTAAAATAATATTCTGCTTTGTTTAGCTACTAGAGTGCGTCTCCGCGGTATTGGTAGTTCACCTCATCAAGGAAGAGTCGAGGTATATCACAATGGTTCATGGGGAACAATATGTGACGATTCATGGACGGACGAGGACGCATCAGTGATTTGTAGGATGCTTAATATGAGGTATTGTATGCATGTCTGTGTAGTTTATTTGATAACGATATAAATTGTTATCGTTATATTTTTTACATTAATAATACACGTATTAAACGTGTCGCAACGTCTCAAGATTGACGGGTCGCTTTGTCAAAGGTCAAAAGTCAAATTAACCTTGTAACCAAGATCTGAGATATGATTCACTAAAACCATTATTTCAGTACTTGAGATCAAGGTCATCCAAGGATCCAATTGAGGTCACAGTGATCTCATTTTAGGATGGACATTCCGACATCCAATGATGTTCCTATGTTAAAGGTTTGAAGGCAATTCACCAAACAGTCGCCGAGATATGCTCTGGAAACCATTATTTCAGTACTCGAGTTCGAGTAACGGTTATAGATTAAATTTAATATCCCATTATTACTGTTAAAGGAATGGAGTCATATTTTAACTTTGTAGAATGATAAATGCAAGACACTCACTTGTGATTGTTTCTATTACATGTAAGTTTTGTAATAGATACAGAAGGTAGAAAGTAGATGACACTGTGCTGTCCAGCTGGTTCGTCCTTCGGGGAATCATCGGTCAGCTAGGGGCAAGAAAGGTGGTAGTTTGTATACAAAAATCATTTAGTACTTGGTTCATTTTTCGTAGAAGCATAAGACTAAAATTCTTTTTCCCCAAAGACAAATATTGTCAAACTAACAATGCACTGAAGAATCATTTATAATGCAACCAAAACTAGGGATCATATGCTACAGTCTTCATATCAAAATCCCTTGCTTCGGTTAGTTATCAGATACGAACAGACAAATCAACAGCCAGAAGCCATCTCAAGCAATGTTATTTCAAGACAAAAAAGGTGTTCATCCTAGAATAAAAGTATCTTATAACTTTTGTATACCAAACATATTTCGATTAAAGATGGACCAAGTCCTTAACTACCAGTGACAAAAATATCAATCCAAAATTTGTGGTGAAACATATTCAAAGAAAGGACCAAATGACTCTATGGTCTATACATCAGAATTTATGACTATATTCATTATGAATAAAAACTAACATAACAGAAGAAAAACATTCTTCCAGTTTGGATGGAATGAATATTTAATCAACAGAGAAGATGTTTGAAAAAGATTAGATGTTTGATTCCTTTTCAAGATGGCAACCAAAACATTCATTTAACTGCCCAATCAGTTGTAAAATTCATAGACAACTATCAATGTAATTCAGAGATTGTGTGTTTATTTGTTACTTTGTTTTTATATGTATGTTAAAGTTAGGCGACGTATTAACAGCTGTTTACATTAACAGATTATGTTTCGCAAGATGCAAGAGTATGAAATGTGTTCTAATGGCAGGTTTGGAACAAAGAAGGAAGAAAAGAAATTATGCAAGGCTTTGAGTTTGAAACTGGTGATTCTAGATGCACAAGAAAACTTAGCATTTTTAATCTTTTATTGGATTATTATCATTTGGTGTCGTGTACTGAATCCAAACATTATATTTAGTCTGGCTTTTGTGTCTGGAACCAATCTGACAACGGATGAGGTCTTGAGAGTGTTGATACACCCATATTTGATAATCTTCAAGAAAGCTGTTTTCACCATCTGAGCTAAACAGTTTGTTTTTGAAAGTAGAAACTTCATTTAATGTGCAAGTTCAGTCTTTTCAGTCAGTTTCCGGTGATCTTTGATACATTGGTCCCCGTATCCAATTGAGACATGCAGTCACAATATTTAGCAGTTCCTCAATTATATCAATGAAACAATTTGATTCTAAAAGTTATCCAATGCTTAAGACGACCATGAAACAATCGATCGGGATTTAGTAACTGTTCTGTCAATGTTAGCATGTAGATCAGAGTGTTAGCTCTGATCAGTCTTAAGATATGGGGGCATACTGGTATAACAATACCAGATGCCTCTAACATTGGCAGGACATCTCGAAAGCCACGATTAACTACTACATTGTTGTCTTGCTCCAACCATGTGAGCTTGTACCTGATGATTTTTATGTAATGCTTGCATCATTTTGGCTTCCAGAAAATGGGCTTCTGTGTCAAACATTTTGAGCAATCTATTCCATTTTTAGTAAGTAAATCCAAAGATTTTATCTAAAAATTGATTGGTTACAAAAACTTTATTAATCACGCCAAGAGATGTAGCAAATTTGAATTTGGATTGTTTTGTGACTTAACTTGCACTGAAAGTTTTATTGTAGGCTTGCCACGAATATCATCACCAATTACCTGTAATCAGGTACATTGCTTTTTGGTGAACGCCAGGTAGGTGTCTTTTGCCCTCAACTTTCTGGGTAGACATGGTACTGTGTTGTGCAAAATGAATACTTTCCACCACTTTTGTTTTTGGACTGAATTCTTGCATACATATTTGAAATAACACCACTTCTTCATACTATGAAAATATTTTGTATACGTGAATAATAAGAATGAAAAATCCTATATTTTACATTGAAATTTTCACAAAATGTTCCATTAAACTCACATTCTGGATGATAAATATATAGCATTACATGAAAGAAAATGTTCTTTCCTAAGTGTTACGATGAAAACAATACGATTTTTTTGCAGAAAAATACTGTCAGTCTGATATTCCATATTTCGGCCCTAATGCTGTAATGAGTTAATTAATCATCTAAATGATTAATAGAGTGATTCAAAGTAATAACATCGGATGTATAAAGGATTGAAAAGAGTTAAAACAGCAGCATACATCTCGTAGTACTTCTGAAACAAAAGTTATGAGGGGGCAGGCGCCTATGTAATTTTAACATAGCAAGAACTAGTCCCTTTGTGTTCTGTCATGACAAGACTGCAGGTATTTAAGGTGAGAATATACATATTAACTGAATGTATATCTTTACCAGTGTACAGATTTTTGAAATTAATTTACCACATAATTAATCATCATCTTTTATGCATTACCAGAAAGCTTTATTTTATATATTACCTTAACCATACAAATGTAGACTAGTGGAAATGGATTGGGTTATTTACCTGCCACCAGGTAGCCCAGTTGGTGCTATTAGTAGAGCATCCATCTAGAGTTCAGAGCGTTCTGGATTCAAATCCCAGTCTTGCAGTGCATTTCTCTCTCCTGTTACACTTTGACCAACAGAAGGTGTTAGAGGTCAAGTCATGTGTGTGTTCGAGCTCTATTTAAGTCTTAAGCGAGGAAGGAAATAATGTAGCAGAACTGGACAGGGTTGTTCGCCGGTGACCAGGTAGCTGTTAGACAGTCAAGGGTTCCAATACCAGTTTGGCCGTGGATTTTTAATTTTCCTCTCCTATTAGGATAACACTAAGTTAAATTTGGCATTAAGTAGGAAACTTTGGTTCAGGAAAGCTTATATATTATCCTACTACATAGGAATAGTCTGTGTGGTATTTATATTGTATTTTGATTACAGCACTCAACTTATGTTAATGTGCAGAAAAAAATAGGAATGAGAAAGAGGAGTGTACAATTGATGACATTATGTGACAGTCAGTAGCTATTTACTGCGAAATATACAACAAAATCAAATAACATGCAACTACAGATTGTGTATAGCAGTTACTATTTTCGTCATTTGACATTGACTACTTGTCTTTTAAGCAGACGGTGCGGTTCGTCTCTTTTCCCAGTTCAAACTCGACTGAAAAAAGTGTATCTGACAGACTCTTTGCCCTAATTTGGTTAAAATCCTTCAATTTTATAGAAGGACACTATTCACAGGGGGTTTGTTACAAATGTCTATTTACATGTATGCCATACTGATGTTTACTCTTCACAGGGGTTCGTTGCAAATGTCTATTTACATGTATGTCATACTGATTTGGCCATCATATGGGTCACAGCACATGATAGTGTATATGTATGTTCATGTGACCCATGTCAGTATAGCATATACATGAATGTGTATTTCAGACGTTTGTAACGAACCCCTGTGCATATTGGAGTAAACCAAATCAGTTGTAAAAGATATATCTTTTAATCCTGTATCGCTTGAAGCTGAACCGGTATCTATATAATGTGTATTTTCCCTTGTGATCTTAACCCTTGATACACAGTCAATCTTAGCTGCATAAAGTACTTGAAAGAAGGCGTTGCATTATTTTTAGATAGTTACTTTAAAAATCATACAGTCGTATATTTTAACCTTACGCGTTCATCACAGTGGTTTGTTACAAAAGCTTTGTGCTTTGACCCATGCCAGTATAGCAGATATGTAGTTTTACAATTGTAACGAACCCCTGGTCCTGTGATGCGCTAAGTTCTGAGGTGTTGACAACAAAAATCTGCTTTGACACAACACATAGTTCACATATATAACTCTGGGTTATATAATATGATATATATAAATGGTGTGTGTATATATACAACGAGTGCTGTCAACCGTTTGTATACACGTGTGTTGTCCCGTCTCGTAAACAGTGTATGTGACGTCATCAGTTCGGAATGCATGTCCCTGTGTTGTTATGTTCTGTTTCAACATTCTGACTGAATTGTCTACGACGTAGATCTTGGACCTTCTCCTTGCACAAAAAAGCACCCTATATTCCCGCCACTATATTCTGGCTACTGGGTAGATACTTACTGCCCCGTGGTCATTCTTACAATCCGACTCGAGAGAGACGGATCAGATTACTGATAGAGCCGAGCCATTGATTATATAGAGGGCGTACATTGCCGCCAGCATGTATTAGCAGGCTCGGAACATCATACCCGGTATGTATAACCGTATTATATAATAACTATCGTGTGGTTATAACATTTAGTTATTAGAATTACTATATTTATAGCGGTCTCTATTCAGAGGTCCGGTACCTCGGTCGGCGCGGAAGTTGTGTAGTATTTATTGTATGTATGTGAGAGGGTGAATGTATTTATTGTATTGTCCTGTATTGTAGGTTTCTCGGAGATTGTAAAGAAAAGAGATATACTTGAAACAACTTGTCCGAGTTATTGTATAAAATTGAGCAACCGGTGACACATATATCGATGAATGGGGTATTTATTGATCCAAAGCAACCTGAATTATCACCAAAAGCTGCTACATTTCTCTTGAAGAGTCATCAATGTTTCATCGTCAAAATGTCCAACCTGAGTGACACCATTTTATATATTATGCAATGACAAGGGAGTAACTAATCAACAAACCGTACCGATCCGGACTACATTATTCTTATTTAGAACAACTCCGGACCGCCTCTTTTTGTGGATTAGTCAGTTTTTAAAAAAGACCGCCGCAAATTTTGCTGAGCAGACGTCAGGTCGTATGAGCCTTTGATCCGAGTAGAAATATAAAAGGAATGAGCATGTTCACGATAAGACTTTTAAAAAATGGCAGCCGGGAAGGATTTGATGTGCAGACTCCGGATAAAATGTGAAATTCCTCCAAAAGAAAGAATGTTTTTCTATAACTCATGTAGATTTTGTCGCTATAAAACGCATCCTAAACATATGGAATTTTGAAGATATCTCGTTTGTTATTTTGTTTTTTGATATTATATATATTATGTTTATGTATGACTTGATAAAGGAACCAGTCAGTCTTGTGACGTTGCAACTAGTTTAATGAATATGAAAGTAAGTATTTTAACTTGTCTACAAATAAAACAGCGAGAACAGTTTACATTTGACCTCCAAAATAACACAGCTAAGGATTTTTACCAACAATACTTTATGCATGCATTGTATCTAACATTCGGACAAAAGATGAAAAATGGCGTCAGACTTTGATTTGACAGCGTTAGTTATATTGCTTTACAGTGTAGTATGTAAACTGCTAAAGGTGTAATTCAAGAGGGGATGTGTTAAGGTATTGTGTTACATTGGTGGAAGTTAACCGTTGTAATATAAGGATTTTCCTCTATAAAATGCACTCAATTTGACCATGTTATCTAGTTTGCAACTTCCATGTATATTGCATATTTACGACTTATCCGAAATAACAGAATTTGGAATCGGACTTTCTTTTTTGCAGCAACGGAGGGAAGGCCTACGGTCAGGCACGCTTTGGTAGAGGAAGTGGTCCGATATTACTAGACCAAGTCAATTGTGTTTCGGGCTATATAGAAGATATATCGGACTGTAATCATGCAGGCTGGGGAAAAGAAAACTGCGGTCATCAGGAAGATGCAGGAGTTGTATGCAGAGTATCAGGTTAATACTAATTTAATTTTAACGTTGCATAAAATAATGATTAAATTACCACGAGAAAGGAATCTCAAAATGAACTTAAACGGCTCTGCCAAAACATAGAATGATATAACTAACAACACAAAATATTGGAGGTGAAACAGGGATTATGAAAACTGTGTAGAATGTAGATATTTGGTATGCTTGTAAGTAATAGAATGGTTACTGAAATATTCAAAACGAAACGCTAAAAATGTATTGAACAAATCTAGAACATCCCTTATTTAGTGTTTCGCATTATGTTTTTTCTTTCAAAGTTAAACAGTTTGCAATGTTAATTTCTACAAGGTCGTCTCCCTTTCATTTTTCAGATTCCAATATACTCAATTACATATAGAAATGTACAATGTATAAGGTATACAGAAATCGTATGCAGTCCTCGAAATAAGCACGGTTTCTGATAAGTTGCTTTAATTCTGCCACGTTTGAGGTGTTACGACACTTTTTATTGGTTAATTACACTATATTAATTAATGGACGAAAGATCATGATCTTGCATGTTCTATTTTCCAACAGACCTTACACGTGCAAACCTCCCTTTATTGAAAATATAAACAAGTCATGAGATATGACTTATTGTTGAATAAGGATGCACATATTTAAGTTTTGCATAAATTTGATGATTTTGCTTGCAAAAAAACGAAATCTTTCTTGTTAACCTTTTAATCTACTTAATTCCTGTTAAGTTTACGATCAGAACGGTCTGTCGATCTTAAAATGAAGATGCCTTAAAATACTGTTTTAACACCTAACAGATGTTCAATTTATGAGATGATGAGCAATATCAAACGAGTCACTCTTTTGAAAGATTGAAATGAACATTTTATGTACAGCTTGACATCAGCATTTATTATTTATCATCCGTTGAGTTAAGAAACCTAATGTAAACTGAAAATAAATACTACGGGGATTTAATCACCTTGTATAATATATGACAATTGACACTGAAAACACTTTTTCATAACATTTTATATGGTAGTAAATATATAATCAACCTATGTTTGTAAACTATGTAACTATGTAAAAATATATAACTCGGGATTGGAAAATGTTGGAAAATGATAAGCACAAGCCGGATTATAGCCCAACCCTGTCCGACCCTTGTTATCACCAAGTAAATAAATATAATAGGACATTTTTTTGCATTTAGCATGCTTCAATAGTGAGCATGCAATGCCAATGAAGATATTTAATGTGGGTTTTTTTAAATGACAAAAATATTTATATGAAATACTCAAATTACCTTTGATTATATTGTTAAGAAGTAAAGTTTAAAAAATATTTTTTTAATAAAATATTACAGGTTAATTTTAAATTCATAAGTGAGTTAACTATGAATAATATTAACCGTGACAATATTCAAAACTTTTCTTTTCAAGGTAAAGACAAACCATCAGGGTTTTCCACATTGTTTCCTCAAGGATGAACGTAAGACACACATATATGCCTGTAAACTTTGGGTATAGGTACAGTACAAAAATGGTATGGCTGTTCAATTTTTCTAGAACTCATCGGTGAGCTAGAGGTGAAATGTTTTATACAATTTTAACGCATCTATATAGCAAGCAATGACACTGTTAGGTAGCCGGATGAAATAATAGCTCCCGATGATGCAGCACTGATGAATGTTTATCGAGATGGCTCGGAGCATCTTGTTCTGACGATAATGACTACTAATAGCCCTTCCATTTACTCCTTAAACAGGAAGTTGTTGTATATCTTCTTATATCTATAGGTTGTCAATCCAGGTTTATTTATAGGGTTTGCGGTGTCCTAGTAGTGAAGGCGTCTGACCGTCTACGATAACTAGCACTCCGTCACTGGATCGGGGATGCGGTGATTATTCTCATGGTACTAAAGCTTTCTTTTCTCCATCACCAAGACCTGGCGCGTTCTTAATAGGACGTAAAGCACTTAACAACATACAGGATTATAAACTATCTTTCAGTAGCTACATATTCTGTATAACAACTGATTTCAAATTTCGACAGGTGTGCACACCGTAAGTTGTTCTGCATTTTGGTAAACACAAGCGAAACCCTGCATACATATTTTGGTTTTTATTTTTAGCTGATAACACCATAGAATGCGAAAGCGGAATGTTTGGAACATATTGTTTACAAAGATGCCACTGTAGAATTCCTGGTTGCCACCACGTGACTGGAGTCTGTAACAATGCAGGTTGTCAAGATGGCTGGGGGGGTTCATCATGTGACAAAGGTACTTAACCAACACTCACACAAATCGTCAAACCAAAATTATAATAGCTTATCCGCGCAGTTGACATAAAGGAACCATTTTCAAAAAAAACCCAAAAAAAAACCAAAAAACGTTTTTAACATTTAAGGCGTGTTTATGTATTCGGATCAAATTTTATTAATGTTAAAAATATCATGAAACAAATCTGTACATAACTAAAGGACGTAATTTTTAGCTGATTGTATCGATTCTAAAAAACGTTATTCTTTAAGAATAAATGTCATCTATGTTAATTACTTAAACATGCACATTAATTGACAGATGTTTCGACATCGGTGATTTGGCGGTAGTGTTCATTCACTGGGTGTGTAAAACCATATTTCGGCATGGTAATATTAAGCGGAAATCACATAGCGGAATTCGACCACTTTAAATATATTCAAACTTAAATACGTCGTGATTGTTATTTCAAGATTCAAGATTTTCTTCTTTTTAAAATTATCAAAGAGTTTCTCTCGTTTTGATATTGGTTAAATTAACGCAGCCGATTACAGTATGGCGGACTATGTCAAAACGATAAGTACGTTAAACGTGCAGCTTTTGAATTTTATTTACTTTTTTAATACCGCTGCCTATATGTGTTCATTGTTAAGCTATTTAAAATCTTATCAAATGCTGTCATCTTGATTAAACTTACTTTTCCTATCATCTACAATCCACGGTAGTTGCAGTGCTCGTACTGTTTGTCGTCCAACCTGATGAAAAAAAGACAGACTATCGATCTGGACCCTACGAGTTTGAGTAAACGGGGTTTTATTATACATGTTAAGTGTAACGATCGATATTTATGTAAACTTTTGCTACCATTAGGCAGCCAATAGTGTATGGTTGAGTTCTTGCAAAATCGATTATCCATCCAGTGATATTAACCGACTTACTGTTTCACAAATTCCATTTTGCTCTTCGTACCTCTATAGTTTTTTTGAATGATATTTAAACTGAAAAATGTTTATGCTGCATTATATTTATAACAAGGATCAAGCACCAATTCATGCCGTCATATCTTTTATGATTTTTATTTTTAATTTGGTTTCCATCTTGCACAATTTTGACTTTATTATTTTGTCCAACGAAATCTATGCTGGCTGATTTGCACGATTTCGTTGTTTTGTCAAGGCGAGAATTAGTAATTGTTTATTCTTGCTATTTCGTTTCTCGTTTTCTTCGTTGGGACGGAAAGACGGCAGCACGAGAGTTGAGTTTTTTATGCTAGTCTTTTTGGAGAGAAACGACGAAACAACGAAATGGCGCGAATCACCCACCGTAGAACTCGCTTACGAAATTTACTTTGAAATGTGTCCAGTTCACTTGATTAGTTTTAATTTTGATGCAGAATGCAGATTTATTGTTTAAAATAATACTCTGCTTTGTTTGTTTAGGTTATACTAGAGTGCGTCTTCGAGGTAATGGTAGCTCATCTCATCAAGGAAGAGTCGAGATATATCACAATAGTGAATGGGGAACAATATGTGACGATTTCTGGACGGATGAGGACGCATCAGTGATTTGTAGGATGCTTGATTTAAGGTATTTTATGAATGTTTGTTTATTTTTTTTGATAATGATATGTATTGTTATCATTTTTCTTATTTAATACACAAACAGTGTACGTATTACACCGGTTGCAACGTCTCAAGACCGACTGGTCCGTTTTGTCAAGCTATCACAAAAGTCTTGAAACGTTGCGACAAGTTAGATTGAAATAGGTACCAGATAGTCTTGCAACGTTCCGACCCGTTTTATACAAACATTGTTAGTAATTAAAGTAAAACTTTGAATTACATATTTCGAACCTAATGAATGTTATCAAAGATATAAATTATATGTTAGCTATTCCAATTAATAAATTAGTTTGCTATAATACACGTGATTGAACAGGAAAGGAAGTATTTTAACTTGTCTACAAATACAACAAAAAGAACAGTTTACTTTTTTTTACAAGATAACACAGCTTACAAAACTTGATATATGCATTGTATCTAACGTTTTGAGCGAAGTGGAAAAGTAGCGTCAGACATTGGTTTAACAGTGTTAGTTATGTTGCTTTACAATGTAGTATGTAAACTGCTTAAGGCGTAATTTAACAGCGGATGTGTTAAGGTAGAGTCTTACAGTGGTAGAGATAAACCGTGTAGATATAATACATTTTCTCTTTAAATGGCACTCAATTTATCCATGATATCTAGTTTGCAATTTCCATGTATATTGCATATTAACGTCTAACCCGAAATAACAGAATTGGTAATCGTACATTTTTTTTTGCAGCAAAAGGGGAAAGGCGTACGGTAAGGCACGTTTTGGTGAAGGAAGTGGTCCGATATTGCTAGACGACGTCAGATGTCTCTCAGGACATATAGGTGATTTATCAGACTGTCGCCACAGACTCTGGGGAAAGCATAACTGCGATCATAGTGAAGATGCAGGAGTTGTATGCACGGTATTTGGTAAATACTAATTGAATTTTAATATTGTATAAAACAATAATGTAATTAACTCGAGAGAGGAATCTCAAAATGAACTTATACATCTGTGCCGAAACATAGAATAATATCATTAACAACACGAAACAATATGAGGTCAAATCGGGGTTATATCTACTAAGTAGAATGTAAATATGTGTATGCTGATAAGTAATAGAATGATTACTGAAATATTTAAAAGGAAACACTAAAAATGTATCCAACAATTTAGAACATTCTTTATTTAGTCTTACTCATTATGGTTTTTTCAAAGTTAAACAGTAAGTAATGTTCATTTCTGCAAAGTCGTCTCCATTTCATTCTTCAGATTCTAATATTCTAAATAACATAAAAACTATACATTATATAAAGTATAAAGAAACTGTATGCAGTCCTTGAATAAACCGCGGTCTCTAATAAGTTATTTCAATGATGCCACGTTTGCGATGTTACGATACTTTTCATTGGTTAACAACACTGTATTTATGGTTGATAAACCAAGATCTTGCATGTACTAAATATATTCCAACAGACTAGGACATGCGTGATCATGTGCATGTACAAATATCCCTGTATTGAAAACAAAAACAAACAAGTCATGAGATTTGTTGAATTAGGATACAAACATGATTTTTTTTACATATATTTGAAGACTTTGATAGCGAACAAACAAACATTTTCTTGTTTTAACTTTTAATCTACTAAAATCCTGTCAAGTCTACGATCACAACGGTCCGTCGATCTTACCGTGAAGATTACTTGATATAGTGTTTTAACGTCAAACAGATGTTAATTTTATGTCACGACGAGCAATGTCAAGCGATTCACGCTTTTGATGGATTGAAATGAACATTTCATGTAGAGCGTGACGTTAGCATTTATTATTTATCGTCCGTTGAATTGAGAAACCTAATGTCAACCGAAAATAGAGACTTTGGGGATTTATGACCATATCTTGACGAAAATTCATCACATATATAATCTTTCTCAAATATATCAAGGTTAAACAGGCAAAAAAAGGAAAATTAACTTCAGCGGCAGGAATGGTAAAACGTGCAGCGTGTGGATCTCGTGACAATATTTGCGGGCGCAAGAGAACTGCCTAATTTGAAAATTTGGATTATAAAGATCACTTTGTATAATAAACACCGATGGACACTGAAGACACGTTTACATTACATTGTACATGGTAGTAAAGATATAATCAACCTTTGTACAATGTAAAAATATATAACTCGGGATTGGAAAATGTTGGAAAAAATGATAAACGCAGACCGAATAATAGCCCAACCCTGTCTGACCCTTGTTATCACAAATAAGTAAATCAATATTATAGGATATTTTAAGTTGTAAGTAATATGACTTTTTTTGCATTTTGCATGCTCCTGAAGTGAGTATGCAAAGTCAATGAAGGCATTTAACGGTGTTTTTATGAATATAAAACTTTTTTTTATGAAATACTAAAATTATCTTATGATTCGAAAGAATATTGTTAAGTAAGAGAGTTTACAATTCTTAACATAATATTACTGAAAGTGTATAAACGACCACAACGACGAGTCAACGGATTAAAATAGGAAATTTATGGAATATTGTAAAGCCATTTGTTTCGTTTTTTTCTATATTTTTAAAACATTGAAGAAGTGGACGTTAAATCATGAAAATTTTAGTTTTGTTCTTAAAATCAGGTCTTTGAGGAATATTTTCCAAACAATTTAAATCAAATTACTTGTTAGATTTAAATACTATGACAATCGGGTGTATTAAAGAATGGGCACACATATGTTGCCGTACCTATAACATTTGGTAATACAATACACCAAAGGTTAGTTATACTCTATCTGTTTTTCTCTCATTGGTGTTTGGGCGTATATTGTAATAGGTGGAAATTCAAATTGGTCTTGACTTCAGTATAAACAAAAGGGGAGTGCATGGATTACCTAGATCACCTTGTGTTATATACCCAAATTGACAATAAGGTAGACACAAAAACACGCTTTCTTTACATGGATAAAACAGACAAAATCAACATGTTTGCATATAATGTAACTCGGGATACAAAAATGTTGGAAAATTATTAACTCAGGCCCAACCCTGTCTGACCCTCGTTATCATCAAGTAAATCAATATCATCGGACTCTTTAAGCAATATGTCATTGTTTGCATTTGGCATGCTCCTGTGATGAGTATTCAGTGTCAATGAAGATATGCATGTCCCCCAAAAGAAGTGGGGGGAAATATTGTTGTACTCAGTTTTTTTTCTACTCCTACCCTCAAATTTTGGATTATTTTCTCAAAAACCACAAGGCATATCTTGATGAAACTTCACATGATTAATAATGGGTATATTTAGTCTTTATTTTCAGATCGTTGCCATAGCAACCACACAGCATGGAGGCTTCTGATTGGTCAAAATTTAGATATTGTTCGATTTTAAAGACAATTGGTATGTAGGGGAATTGGGGGACTGCGAGTTCAACCGCATAGGTTTCGTTGCCATAATAACCATATATCAACCACACGAAGGCTGATTGGTGGAAATTCAGACACTATTCGATTTTACTGAAATTTAGTATGTATGTGTTTTATGACATTATGATCCTTTTCTGATGCATCTTTGCGACTATGGGGGCAGTTTTGGGGACTTCTGTAATGGTCACCCATTACAATTACTACTTGTTAATGTTGTTTTGCAGCAAAAAAAACATTTCTAATGAATTACTGAAAAATAAATATGGTTAAGTAGGAAAGTTTACAATTCTAAATACACTATTACTGATAGTATGTAGACGACGACGAATAACAGGACACAAATAGGAAATTTATTGTGACAAGGCCATTTGTTTAATATTTTTTATGTTTTCAAAACATTTTGGACGTTAAATTTTGAAATTTCTGTGTTTTTGTAGAATATTTTCAAAATAATTTAAATAAACTTTTTTGTTGGATATAATTACGATGACAATAGGTCTTATTAAAGGATGGACACTTATATGTTGTTGTACCTATACAATTTGGTAAAACAATACTTTAAAAGTATTTTACACTTGTTTCGTCCTTCATTGATGTTCTGGCCAAAAAAGTAAAAATCGAAATTGGTCTAAACTACAATAGAAGCAGAAATGGGATGTACATAATCACCTATATTATATGAATTTCAAAATTCTGAAGAGCTTTGGTTATTTCATAATCATAAGTAAGTACATTGTGTTTATTGTGAACCGTGTCAATATTCTTCTAAACTTTGCTTATCAAAGTAACCGAAAAGCCTGGGCTTATAAATCAACCATCAGGATTTTCCGCCTTGTGTCGTAAAGGAAGAACGTAATACACACATATATGCATATGTGCCTGTACAATTTGGGTAAAGATACAGTACAAACATTTTGCTGCGGTTCCATTGTTCTATGACTCATCGGTGATGCTAGGGGCAAAATGTTGGACACAATTTTGACGTATCTATGTAGCAAGCAATACCACTATAGGGTAGCCGAATGCAACAATAGCTCCGGATGATGCAGCACCGAGGAATGTTTACCTGGATGGCTGGGACCATCTTGTTCCGAGGTTAATGACTACTAATAGCCCTTCCATTTACTCTTTGCAAACATTTTATTTGTATTCTTCTATTTTCTGTTATATTTGTTGACACCATAGAATGCGAAAGCGGATTATTTGGAACATACTGTTTACGAAGATGCCACTGTAAAGTTCCTGGTTGCCACCACGTGACTGGAGTCTGTAACAATGCAGGTTGTCAAGATGGCTGGGAGGGTTCATCATGTGACAAAGGTACATAATCACAAAATCGTCCTTACTTGTAGAAGTAAAAGTGATCAGTTGACATTGATTAATCATGTTCAAACGAACATTGTAAAAATTAAGTCCATGGTTATATTATTTGAAAAGGCGTTTATCATAATGTTAAAAATATCATGAATCATATTGATACTCAACCCAAAAAAATATTTTTGATCTGATTGTATTAGTTGTTAAACGTTATTCTTCTGAAATATCTGACATCTATGCTAGTTAGTTAAATATGTGTATTGATTAAACAGAACCGAAACCTCGCAAACACTTGATGTTTTACACTCTATCTCCCTTTTCTGTTGTATTTGATGACACCGAAGAATGCGAAAGAGGAGCATTTGGACCAGATTGTTTACAAACATGCCACTGTAAAGTTCCTGGTTGCCACCACGTGACAGGGGTCTGTCACAATGCAGGCTGTCAGGATGGCTGGGAAGGCTCATCATGTGATAAAGGTACATAATCACAAAATCGTCAATAAATGTAGAAGCAAACGTACGCGTGTGCAGTTGACATTGAGAAATCATGTTCAAATACAATTTTAGCACATTGAATGGCATTGTTATGTATTCAAATCGAGTTTTATTATTACTTTAAAAATATCATAAAACATATTTGTACACCGCAAAAAAAGCTTTTTAAAGCTGATTGTATCAGTTTCAAATAAACATCATACATGCTAGTTAGTTAAACATGCATATAAAATAAACAGAACCGAAACCCCGAAAATCTTATCTGTGCTATATTTTGTTTCCTATTTTCTGTTGTATTTGATGACACAATAGAATGCAAAAATGGAGCATTTGGACCAGATTGTTTACAAACTTGCAACTGTAAAATTCCTGGATGCCACCACGTGACTGGAGTCTGTAACAACGCAGGTTGTCAAGATGGCTGGGAGGGTTCATCATGTGACAAAGGTACATAATCACAAAATCGTTCAAAACTGTAGAAGTTAACGTGAGCAGTTGACATTGATTAATCATGTTCAAACGAACATTGTAAAAATTAATTCCATGGTTATATTATTTGAAAAGGCGTTTATCATAATGTTAAAAATATCATGAATCATATTGATACTCAACCCAAAAAAATTTTTTTGATCTGATTGTATTAGTTGTTAAACGTTATTCTTCTGAAATGTCTGACATCTATGCTATTTAGTTAAATATGTGTATTGATTAAACAGAACCGAAACCTCGCAAACACTTGATGTTTTACACTCTATCTCCCTTTTCTGTTGTATTTGATGACACCGAAGAATGCGAAAGAGGAGCATTTGGACCAGATTGTTTACAAACATGCCACTGTAAAGTTCCTGGTTGCCACCACATGACTGGAGTCTGTAACAACGCAGGTTGTCAAGATGGCTGGGACGGAGTATCATGTGACAAAGGTACATGTAGACATATTTCGCAAAATTGTTCAATCTTGTAGAAGCTGACGATCGCAGTTGACATTGAGAAATCATGTTCAAACGAACGTTTCAAACACAAAATGGTATGTTGATGTAGTTTAATCGACTTTTATCGTAATGTTAGATATATCATGAAACATCTCTGTACACAACCGGGAAAAGCATTTTTGAACTGATTGAGCAGTTCTAAAAAACGTTATTCTTTAAAAATAAATATCATACATGCTAGTTAGTTACACATGCACATCAATCCAAAGTGGGAGACTCTTACGAGTTTATGCAATGAAATAATTATATATCCAATGTAACTTATGCGTGATGCTATTTTTGCAAATTTGGTAAGAAAACACATTCGCCATGCTAATACTAAAGAAGTATGTTCGGTGTGTAATTTAAAGATAGCGCTTTTATTTCCTGATCCATTATTTGTATCTTGTGAATAAAGCAAAAACTAGATACTCGTGGATTATACCTGATATTCGGTTATCAATTCGTTTAATGATTTGACCTACCTTATGGTTGATTATAAAAATAGCACTTTTATATTTAAGTTGTAACAGCTGTTAACATGGTATACATCATCGGCATTGCTCTGGGAATATTGCTGGTTGCATCTGTCGCAACAAATATCGCACTGTTTGCTACGAGAAAAAGGTGAGGTCAAATTTGTTTTATAATTAATTTTCTATTATTATTTTTATTTCTCTTATTTATTCCTTAAACTGATTGATTTTTATTTGTTTCTTATTCATTGTAACTCATCTATAATTAATTTCTGTATGAAAAAAAACATGTGCATGAATTATGTGTTCCCGATTCCTTAAGTTTCCTTTTAATATGATATAAGTCAAACATGTTTTATCATTTTCAATGATTTCAGCGCTATTATATTTTTAAGTGTGCACTTTTTTTTAGATATTACAATGTTTGGATTAGATTAGAAATTGCTTATACGCATGGTAGGCATGACGACATGATTAATATATTTATTTTTTTTACCAGTGAAATATAAAAGTGATTTTTGTTTTTATGATTTGACCAATCAAAAGACTGATTACAAACTACAATTTGAAAAATTACAAGCTGCGAATCTGGTCAAAGGTTGGGTAGCTTAACGATACGCAGGCCTCATGAGAATCAGAGAGGACTATATTTAGTCGCGTAGGGCAAAAGTATCCAGGCCAAGTAATGTCAGCTTGATGTGTCGTTTTCTGTTTTCTCAAAACAAATTGTAATGAACGGAATATCTAGGAGTGTCTTCAGTACTCGTGAAAGATGTCAAAATATTAGCCACACTCGTGAACATATTTATTGTTACTGAAGACACTGCTAGATATCCTCTATATATATGTACATAGTACCTAAATGTTCTACACTTTGTTCTTCTGAAACCTTCAGAAAAGATGAAAACAACCTGAACGGCAATGCAAGTTATCAGGATGCGCTGCCTAATCGAAGGGATGCAGCCGTGACGTCAGACCGTGTTTATGAGGATCTTGAATTCGAGGTCATGCCCTCCCAAAATGCTGATTACGAGTGAGTTGGCAGTAGTAGTAATTAAATTATTTACCTTGTCATCAGACAAAAGAATATATATCTTTCGTTCTTTAATTTCCGCTAAAGATTTTATCATGATCGTTACATTTTTCGTTAAAACAGTATTTTAGTGAATTGTTTATATCCAAATAGGTTGGTCCTATGGAGTAATCTGTTTTTAATTCAAACTGACATTTTCTTAAAGCAGCGACGGCTCACTACTAAGCGGTGTGATAGACAAGGCGATTTAAATTTCTATTTGTTGCGATTCCCTTTCCTGATAGTAACAAATCTGCTGCACCTGTACACCAAAAGTATCGCGCGGCACATTAACGGTCAACATGACTGGTTTTGAAGTCAGGTGTCACACCTCTGTAATCTTTAAAGGCTAGATATCAGCCTAGCTATAGGTCAGTTTTTGCCCACCTGAAACCAATCAAATAGCTAACTGCGTGCCTTCACTTGACATATATACAGGGTTGCACTGAACGTGAGTGTAACCACTGGAATGTCGAGGACGACCTTACATATTATTATATATGTGTTTTTGTTTGTTTTCAGTTCTCTAGGACATTATTATAGTTAAGTCATCAATCACGTGATATTTGATAATAACTACTCATTTTCTTCATTTAGGTGCTTAGATACGACGGCAACTACAAGCGTGTAGAGGAAGCTTGATGCCAGAAAGATGCTCGCTAGACACGAAACCCGTATATACCTCTAAATACGTTGAGACATTTTGTAAAACGTTATACCAAGTGTAGGTACTTTTTATCAAGACATGACTAGTTTGTTTCCTTTTTTCTGTCAAACGGACAAAAAGTGTATATTTTTAATGTTTTGATATGCTTCTATCAAAACAAACCAGGGTTTATAAAACTCAAATCAAGTATTTTTTTTTATCAAGGCGAATGAAATATTCATATTTCTGTCACGGAACACCACTTGTTGTTTCGATCAAAACAGAGCACATGTGTATATTTTCTGCCAGAAACAAGTGTGCATATTTTTTTCAAGACAAACCAAATGTTTGTACATGTATTTCTATCTCTGACTGTGTGTGTATTTGTATCAAAATGGACCAAATGTGTATATATTTCTATCTAAGCACACCATGTGTGTATTTTTCTGTCAAGACAAACCATGTGTATTTTTTAAGATAGACCAAATGTGTGGGTTTTTTGTGTGACCATGTTTTGTAAATAGAGTTAGAAAGCGACAGTATTATTGTTCCATTATTGTCAAGCGAATTTCACCTCAAACATTTTTCAATTGTTTCATGAAAAAATATAATCCCGTAATTATGACATTTTAAATCATAATGTGAGATGCTGTTGCAAGTCTAAAGCTTACATATGGACACCAAATCTGTTCTGCTATTAGTGCATGAAATTCGTCTGTAAATGATCTCATATTGTTGTACTTCGACATTTTGTATCATGATACAAGTATTCAACCCAAATAATAATGTAGGATAATGTTGTGAGTCTGTAAATAAATGATATACGTGTTTAAATACGAAGTCATGACTGTGTCTTTTGAACCAATTTGTATGAGCAGACGACAAGTCCACCGCCAGGTGTAATCTGTATTTTTACGAGAAACACGTTTATATTTATAACGATTGTTCAGCAAGTTGTAATAACATCAAACCTGTCGTGTGTATTCCATTTATTCATACCCTTTAAACTTTTGTAGTCGAGTAGAAACGAAAGTATATCTCAAAAAGAACGTAACGTGTTCTACGGCAGCCATATTTGTTTATCTTTTCGGAAACAGTTGGGAGTCATCACTACAGTATTTACTCGAGTCTCTCGAACTGTAATCACTAAGCATAGTGAACGCGGGAGATCTCGCGTGTTGGTGAGCACTTTCTATAAATTAAGAGCTGGAATTACCGAACTACTCGTTAGTAGAGAAAACAGACAAACAAACAAAAGGCACTGTCATTTCTGAGCTCAAACTGAGCAGGCAGCCAGCTGTGCAGAGAAAGCAGTAGGTGGTAATTGCAGCAGATATGGAGAAGGACAAGAAAGAATTAGGTATTAGGAGTAACAAACAGTATAATGAGTTTAGAAAGGTGCTAGGAGTTATTAGGGGAAATGTACGAGGAGTCAACAGGGAGCAAAAGTGCTAGGCGTACCTAGGAGAAATATACTAGGAGTAAATATAGGAGTCTATTTGGAGCAAATGTGCTAGGAGCAAAGACACGAGGAACAACAACATATAGTTTATGAGAAGAATATTTAATTAAATAAATAGGGTAGCTATTATTAAAAAAAAACATGTCTTAGATAGATTAAACTAAATATTTCGTATTCATTTATTTATAAACACGTCGTCATTTAGTCAAAGGGAGACAACTCATCTCAACTTTTGTATTGTATTACTTGTCTACAAATAAATTTCCATTTTAACTTGTATTGCTTTGTTGAGTCATTCTTGAAGGGTTTGCCACAAGCAAACAACCAGACGGATCTGTTTATATATCAAGTCGTGAGAACCTGACGTTGGCATTGCAATTTCTACCAAATAGACCAATTGTGTATCAAAGCACATTTTTATTTATATGAAAATAGACAAAGAGTGATTATCATAAATACTGACCAAAGGTGTATATTTATGTAAAAACTGACCAAGTGTGTTTATTTCATAAAAACTTACTAACGTGTATATTTATATAAAACTTACCAAGTGTGATTTTTTTATATAAATAGTTACCAAAGGTATATATTTATATAAATGCTGACCAAGCGTGTATATTTATGTAAAAACTTACCAAGTGCATTTTTTTTTTATAAAAAATGACCAAGTGTGATTATGGAGAGGTAGACCTATAGGGACAGAGTGGAACCCCCATAGAGGCAGAGAGGTAGACCAATACGGACAAAAAGGTAGACCCATAGAGACAGAGAGGTAGACCCATAGGAACAGAGAGGTAGCCCCATCCAGACAGAGAGGAAGACACATAGAGACAGAGAGGGAGACCCATAGAGACAGAGGGGTAGACCCATAGGGACCGAGAGGTAGACCCATAGTGACAGAGAGGTAGACCAACACGGACAAAAAGGTAGACCAATAGAGACAGAGAGGAAGACCCACGGGGACAGTTGGGTATACCCATGGGGACAGTTAGGGATACCCATGGGGACAGTTAGGTATAACCATGGGGACAGTTAGGGATACCCATGGGGACAGTTAGGTATAACCATGGGGACAGTTAGGGATACCCATGGGGACAGTTAGGTATAACCATGGGGACAGTTAGGTATACCTATAGGGACAGAGAGGAAGACACATAGAGACAGAGAGGGAGACCCATAGAGACAGAGAGGGAGACCCATAGAGACAGCGAGGTAGACCCATAGACACAGAGAGGTAGACCCAGAGAGACAGAGAGGTAGGCCAATTGAGCCAGAGAGGTAGAGCCATAGGGACAGAGAGGCAGACCCATAGAGACAGAGAGGTAGACCCACGGGGACAGTTAGGTATACCCATGGGGACAGTTAGGTATACCTATAGAGACAGAAAGAAAGTCAAATAGTGAATACCGGATGATGGAGATAGAATCAAGAACAATGATATAGATTCAGCATTTTATTAATTTCATAAATGTATTAATAATTCACTAAATATGTGTACACAGGTGATAACGGTTGAGATATTTCCTGGAAAAGGAACTATAACCTTGTGGTAATCGCACTATGATCAAAAGCTTTGTTGCACATTGAGGACATACACACTCATGACTAGGATCGAGTATTCTTGACACACCCTTAATAGAAATAAGTTTCAAAATCCATGACTAGAATGTTAACAATGTTTCAATTACGTAAAGTTCGTGAATATAAGGCTTCATTTCTAAAGTAATTCATACTGATAAACTTGATAGTTGATAGTATAAGTACAGTTCTGTAGTGAGACAACTACATGTAAATGTAGGTCACGTAAATGTTCTATTCAAATGTAAACACAATACTTAAGTGCTTGAATATTCATATAAAAGTGGCAGAGGGCTGTGATGTATATTCACACTGTCTCTGAAGTCATAGGGGTTCGTCAATAATCGTTCCTTCCTCATCCCTGTCAAGGCGTGACTGTGGCGTTTCGACGAAGCGTCTGAGCCTTCTGAGAAGAGTCCGTGACGAGCAGCCGTGACGAAGGAAATAATTATATAGAAGTTGTAATGACCTGGGTCATTTCGTGTCTTCCCTTCCCCACACTGGCTACAGGATCCTAACTAAATGGTCCCCATCACTCGAACTACAAAAGGTCAACAGCCTAAATGTCACTTCCAGTATCAAATATATTCGAACTTCCGATTCGTCAAATTACCCCTAACTACAACATTTACATATTGACAATATAGTATAGCCATTTAGCATATGCATAACAGCCTAGAAGAATTCATGAATGACACTGAAACCAGTTCGCGTTCATTCATTATCCAGCTCGTAAATTACACATTCACGTCCCTTACAAATACAGCGAGCAGATTTCTTAAAGAACATTCTTCCGTTAAAAGATAGAAAAAAATACCATGACAGCTACTAAGCTGGTCGTGTAACAAACAATCATGGTTTTATGCATAACACTCACCCCTTGGAAGTTATCTTAACCTGTTTTTGCTTCATAGCGAGCAGTTCTACGGACATCAGAAGATATTTTGATTATATGACTATAATACACCTCTATAACAAAATTCAATTTGATATTTGAAATATTGATGAATTGAATTTTTACGATCGGCGGTGTGGCACATGTGTGTATTAAGCTGTACAGTTAACAAAGCGTCGCCAGACAAGATCTTTAAAACGTACTTTATGAAGTAAGCCACATAAGATATGCTATTTGTAAGACGTGCATGTACCTTGAATACCAAATTTCAGGTCGATTTTTGAAAAAAACTGACTGAGTTATGATGAATTGAATTCAAATGCTCGTGGTTGGCAACTTAGGAATCTTCCCCCTCGGGTCGAGATTAATAGAATCTCTCACCCCCTTGTGGGTAAGAAAGGGGAATCTCAACCCGAGGGGGAAGATTCTTAAGTTGCCAAACACGAGGCTATGCCGAGTGTTTGGCAACTTAAGAATCTTTCCCCGAGAGTTGAGATTACCCTATCTCACCCACAAGGGGTCGAATGATTCTTTTTCTCTTACCATGTTCTCTCACTGTGTATCATATACACAATGTAATGATAACGTTACATGCTCAAATCTCTCTTCTGTCTACTGTTGGTGAAGTATTAGAAAGAGTTATTTTTAAGCACTTGCATAATACTTTTTTTGAGAATGCTTTATTTTATCAGTACTAATCAGGTTTTATGCCCGGGCATTCAAAAGTTTATCAACTAATAGAAATATATCACAACATTTGTCGAGACCTAGAAGAAAAGAGACACACTTGTATGATATCCTGTGACATTTCTAAAGCCTTTGACAGAGTCTGGCATAAAGGTCTAAAGTTAAAATCATATGGTATTTCAGGTGACTTCTAAGGTAGCAGTGTACAGTAGAGGGTTGTGGCCATGGGTGATATTTTTGTTAAATGGCTAACCCCTGTATAATGATATGTAAAAAAAATATAAAAATAAAACTGTACTAAAATTGGTATAAGCATGATAAAGTGGGCTATGTGAGCTTCACATTTGTAAAAAAGAAAGAAGATTTCTTTGGTTCGAGAATAAAATTTTGGCCATAATACGAAAGGGTGCGTACACATGAAAAGCTAGCTTTACAGGAGGTAAAATTTTGACAACAGCACACGACGCAAAATTGCAAAAAATCAAGTTTTACAACTTTACTGGGACCCAGATAATTCTGCAACCAGGTAGGTAATCTTTAATTTCAGACAGAGCTTAGGAAAAAAATTACTAGTTGCGGGGGTCAAATTTTGGGTTAAAAATAGCAATTTTTGGCATTTTTTGGTAATTTTTGATGTGGTAACCATGGTTTTCACACAAGTGACATACATAGAAAAAAGAGGTTTATACACTTCTCAGTACTTTATATGTATTGTAAATGTAATGCAGTTTACAAATATATACACATGTATACATGTGTTGTGTAGGGTAAATCCGCTTTGTTTACATTTCCTCGACATGTGCCTTGTTTATCAGAGTTGGGCCATTTCTACTGTATACTGCTACCTTATCCTGGATAAAAAAAACTACTTAGGTAATAGACAACAGGAAGTATTTATGAACAGTTCGTCCTTTTATGTTGGTATGATTGGGGCCGGAGTTATATAATATAGCTGATGAACTTGAATCAACAGCACGTCTATTTTCTGATGTTACTTCTTTTAAGAATCGTCTTCTACATGTCGCGAAATAGAATTAAGTTTAAATAGAGATTTAGAAAAATTAAATAAGTGGGCAAAAACTTGGCTGGTTACTTTTAATCTAAACAAAACCGAGGTTGTTTTTATATCAAAGGACTATGTATGGTTTGGGCCTGTTTTGGCCCCTAAATGCATCAAAATTTAAAACCTTTAAATGAATTTTGAAATGACTGTTTCTTCAATTTCAAATTTGCATAAATTAGAAAAATTTGAATATTCAATGAATATTGTGATATTTTGCATAGTTTTTCTCCTAGAAACTATAGAGCGCATGCTTGAACAACCTTAATATCAAAGGATAATGTGTAGGCATTTGTAATACATCTTTAGGAGAAATATAAAGTTTGTTTAAGAGTGCGCTCTATGGTAGCTAAGAGAAAAACAAGGTGAAAACCTATCAAAATTGACTGAAAAATCAAATTTCAATAATTTATGCAAATATGACCTGGTTACCATGGCAGCCAAAATTGAAAACACAAATAAATGTTAACATAATAGTACTGGGGAAGTATTCAAAATTAAAGAAACATTAGTTTGAAAGTTCTATTGCAGATTTTTAATTTTGACTTCCTTTTTCGATGGATTTTTTTTAATTTCAGTAGTTTGCATAGACATCTTGGAGTCGTTTTTAATTCAGGTGCAAAATGGTCTGATCACATTGATTAAGAATTTACAAATAATTTATATTACCTGTTCTCGAATATGCGTGTGAGGTTTGGTATGGATGCTCTCAATCATTTTCAGAAAAATTAGAGCGAGCTCAGTGTGAAGCAGCAAGAATAATTACTGGATTACCATGTTATTCCAACAATGAATATTTTATATATTGAATCAGAATTAGAATTGCTCTCGGATAGAAGAGCTAGAAGAAAACTTCAATTATTATATAAGATGAATATGAAAATGACTCCAAGCTATCTATCAAATCTAGTACCCCCCTTAGTAGGTGAAAACAATCCATATGCTTTAAGAAATAAAGACAATTAAAGAATTCCAAATTATCGACTTTCTACTACAAACAAATCTCTCTTACCTTCT